GTTGACCACGTCTTTACAACGTTCTCCATGGGATAAACTAGCGACGTCTTTTGAGGACGTGCCCACGGCGTTTCTGGAACGTTAGCCAAGATTATAAAAAATGGAACTTTACCACGACGTCCTCACAACGTTGTCACAAAGTAATGTCACGCTGACCAAATAACGACTAACTGACGACGTCGTCACAACTTCTGTGTTAGCTGGGCAGCTGTTACCACGTGTTTGTCCCTTTATATGTTCAGTAAAGGCGGGCGTACACGGTGAGATTTTTTGCTGTTTTACGAGCTCGCAGATGATCGTGTGGAAATCGGTGATGCTCGCATGGTCGCACTCGCAGCGTGTGAGAGGAATAGGCAGTATCAGAGCCATAGAGAGAAAGAGTTGAAAAACAAAATCCAGGGCTGAAGGCAAATGCAAACATGGGGTTTCAAATTATTTAAAGTATTTAACTTTAGGAGAGGAAGCCTGAAAATATGAATATTATAAAGGTGGTAGCGATTCATTACCGAACTGTCACAGCTGAAGAAGTCGCGCTAGCTAACTAGCTAGCAGGCAGTGCTTGAAAATTGGTTGAAACAACCAAGATCAAATATAAATGATTACGCTGTGCATATACAAATGAAGACCAGTATAAGCATCGCAAAGGGCCTCTGATACAATATAGACAGTTGACCATTCAAAAGAGGTCGATATTTCAGCAACTTATCTCTGGAACAACTCGACGCGCAGCAATGTAAGTGAATGGGGTCCAACGCCCAAATGACAGTGTTTGGAACTAAGCAGATCTTCAAATCCCGGAAGTAGGCGGTTAAAAGCGCCGCAATTTTTTACAACGGAGGTCTATGGGAGTGTCGCAACTCTTTCTCTCTATGGCTCTGGGCAGTATGCACTGGCGAGCATGGCGTATTTCCAGTTAAATCTCAGGATGGTTGTAAACATCCGGTTATTGTAGAGTGAAGTGCTACCTATGCTACCATTGAATGCTTGTCATCAAAACACCCAAAACTGTTCATTTCCGTCGTTGTTGTGTTGTTTATGTTAATGTTTTAACTTGTACTTCGTCTTGACTGATAACGCGATGACATGTAAACGTACGAAATTGTCCTTTGAAAAAGGCGGGAAGACAGCTCTTCTAGCCACAGTGTCTGCAACATGCAATTCTTCAGTTAGTTTTTTTACTTTTCCCAAAGACATTGAATTACATAAACGGTGGGTGATTAACATCCGACGAGACACGTTTCTTACAACAAACACACGAGTCTGCAGCCGACACTTTCAAAGTGAAGACGTGATGAGCCTCTGACTCCAGCTGGGCGGAGACGTCTAAAGAAGGGAGCTGTTCCCGTGCTTTTTCAGTGGAACAATTTCAGTCTGCCAGCCCCACGGCCCGGAGTTTGGGAAAGGACCGAGCGTCCCAATACAGAAACCACGCACGATCCATCTGTGGAATTGGACTATCCTCCTGACCATGACTACTGCGACAGTAGTGAACCTGCTGCGCTGGATGTGTCTCTTAACCACACTGAAGAACTTCATGAAGAGATAGCAAGACTCCGAAACGTAATAGAGGAGATATCTATCAGCAACAAGTTCTGCTTGGAGCGGTTTGCTGGATCAGATGATGACAGAAGGTCCATCTCAAGGTAAATTAAAATGTCCACCTTTGTTTAATATAGATGTTTTAGAGCTTTCAACATTGCTTAGTATTATTAAGCCTATCTGTTTAAATGTTGCATGTGTGATGTGTGTTGTTGTAAGCTACTGGAAACCTTGAATTTCCCTGAGAGTGATGAGAAAAGTATCTATCTAAAACTATCTAGATCTATCTACTAGTGCATTGTATTTTAAAATACTGAGAAGAGCAGTAAGCAAAAGGACTGACGTGTGTGGTCCAGTTTCTGACCTGAGTGCCTAAATGTTCCAGGATGTTTACAGTAACTGTCAATACGGATGCTAACATGCTTGCAATTTAATGTTGTGTATGGGCACTTAATGTAATGTAATGAAATATAACACCTATGTCCCACAGATTTGCAAGTCACGCCCACCTGATGGCCTTTTGGAAGCAGACAGAACCAGCAAGATGGTACGGGTGACAAGAGCACGAAGTATGAATGATGAGGTCCCTCACACTGGCAGTGCAACGGGGAATATATTGTTCTTACAAAGCAAGATATATTGCATAATCTTATCAAATTCTTATATCTAATTCTTTCTCTTTTCAGATTCTTCAACCCATTGATGATTTTTTTCTCTTTATGAATGACTTGTCATTGGGTCTGATGCAGAAGGGTCTGGCCCACAGATTCAAAATCCACCAGTCAACTGTAAGCCGCATCATAAATACATGGGCTAACTTCCTGCATACTGTACTAGGGGCTGTGGGTATTTGGCTGGACGGGCAGCATTAATCAACTTTACAGTCGCATGTCTTTTGGTCAACTATCAAAATGGCCCCTTGGTTAAAGCCTGGGCAACACAATGATGTGTAAATGCATGAATAAATCATTTACAACACTTTCTGCATCCCCTAATCTAAAGTGAAAACTATTCATCACTTGTAAATGTGTTACACAGCATTCATAGATTACCACTTCAAGAATCAATGATGTGTAACACATTTACAAGTGATGAATAGTTTACACTTTAGATTAGGGGAAGCAGAAAGTGTTGTAAATGATTTATTCATGCGTTTACACATCTATAACAGGTAGTGTGTACTGCAGTGTAAGTGCTGACTGGTGAGGGTACAAAACTTATTTTACATTTATTTATTTTACAATTACAATTTATTTTACAATTTGATATGTTACAATTTGTGTATGTGACGATTAATATTGAATGTTGTAAATAAGACAGTTGACAAAATAAACTTTAAAATGATTGTACAATAAATGCAAAAATTCATGTGTCTGTTCAGTTACTTTTCATAGAGAGGTATTTGGGCATGTATGTGTTAAAGAAAAACAAATCACGACCGAAATGCAGTGTTGCAAAGAGTATATGCAACAAACTTGTTGAACAGAACCTTAAACAAGTTCAACAGAACTTTTGAACGTGTCACTTAATCTAGTCCTACTTTCAGCTGGTGTGGTGGCTTTAGCTTCTTCATTGAGCGGTAGCAGTGGGCTCTCACAGATATCTCATTTGTTGCCCTATTTTTACCTGATACTTTAATAAAAGTACAAACGCATGAAGTGAGAGGTATATACATATAATTAAACTTTATTTAAAGCATGATTAACCTGAAGCAGAATGGAGTCATGACTTAAAACACTACGCTAAAACGCTAGTTAGCGTTAGCAAATTACCTTCAAAGTTGCAAAGAAATGAAGAAACGTAAAATTTAAAGCCTTTATCTAATTTGCTGCGTGGTGTTGTCGTACTGGATAACCGGACGATCCTCTGGATATCGTTAACAGACACTTTGGCAACTCCAGCAAACACCTTGTGAACTTCGTCTCTGCCATCGTAAATGTCGACTGTCACTGTTTAATGTTTTCTTCCGTTAACCGGAAATGTCCAAACATCCTTACGCCAATGCGGAAGTGATGCGTGCATAGAGCCCATTACGAGCCGAGCAGAGCACTTTACCAGCACCTCCCGACCTCCTGATCATTTTTAAACATGTTTAAAAAATTCACGTTTCTAATGCGCATGCTAACACACGCTGCTTTATTTAATAGTGATGTCTGAGTCTTTTCCACCTGTATGAAACACATTTACACATGTATTTCTCCTCATAGACAGCAGTGAGACTCTTCTGTGGATCACCTGATGGTTTCTGCTCCTCTCATCTCCGTTTCACAGATTTAAACTATGATGTAAATCCTCTGTCGTTTGGTGATCAATCTTCATCTACATTCATATACTGTAAGGTGGAACAGAAGAGAAAACAATCAGTGTTCAGTGGAACAAAGTGCAAATTATTATATTTCAATTACTGTTTTTTGAGTAAAAATAAGTTACATTGAAATACTGTAATCAGATTAATTACCGACTTTAAATTATCTTGCTGATATTTGTGTTTTTAAATATAATAGATGTAAACCTGAATCATGTTCATATGTGTGTGTGTGTCGGTGCAACTCGTATTGAGTCTCTGTAAAGGAGAAACTAATGAGTGTACGGCGTATGGAATAAACCACAGGGAGCAAATACTAATGTTATTTAGAGTTAAACACAAACCTTTAGTTAAAGCCGTTTGTCCTCTAGTTTAAACATGTTTGTAGGCTCTTAGTAAATAACTGAAAGTAAAGTAAGTGTAGAGTAGTGTGACGTGTTGCTTGTCACAGTAAAAACACACTAGAGACAGAGACATTGCTCATGTGAGCTGGACGCTGTGAGCTGAAGCTGGAACTGCACTGATTTTAGCAGGAGTGCAGCGTTTCCCACAATCTGACCAAGTCTGTTTTCACACTGAAATGATTCACTTCTACTGACACAGTTCATAAAGCAGGTGTTGATGTATAAAGCTGTGACAGTGAGCTTTTCTTCTCTTTCCTCCTTTGTGTTCAACATTTCAATAACTTCACATCAAGGATTGTTCACATATCAGAGGTAAATGAAGATTTCTTTAATATATCAGTGATGTTTCCTCACCTCAGGACACAGTTTGAGTCTCGTAGCTCGTCTCTGAGCCGCTGCTTTGAGTCTCCTATCTTATTGCCTCTCAGATCAAGCTCTTTTAAAAACTGCAGTGCTTTTGAGTTAGTCAGAGACTGAGTTAAAGAAGAAACATCTGTAATGCCACAGCGATATAGACTAGAGAGACACAAACAGAGGAAGAGAGATTATCTTTCAAACAAATCATGAATGTGAAGAATTTTACACAGATATAATGTGAACTCAGACTCACTGTCAGATATTGAGAATAAAGTGTTTTAGTTTAATAAACCCAGAAAGTGCACTGCTATAACCAATGAAACATAAGCCCTGCTGTCTTCAATTAAATAAACTTCAGTCACACTGTAATTGCTGTACAGTATAATGACACTAACTGTAGTTTCTCCAGCTTGAATTGTGGGTTCATCAGTAGATCACTGAGGTTTTTCACTCCAGAGTCTCCTAGTTTATTGACGCTCAGGTCCAGCTCTCTCAGGTGTGACGGGTTTGATTTCAGAGCTGAAGTCACATCAGAACAACCTTCATCTGTCATATCACAGCAGATTAACCTACATTAGCAGAGAGAGAGAGAGAGAGAGAGAGAGAGAGAGAGAGAGAGAGAGAGAGAGAGAGAGAGAATGAAGAAAATAAGAGACTCTTTATTCTGTAAAGTCACATCATCTTCATCAGCAAATAAAACAGACAGAGGAAGAGAGATCTTCATCTTTATTTCACCAGATCACAAAATACTAAGTTGAAAATGTTTGTACAAATATAATGTTAATGTGTTCTAGTTTAAACAGTTGAAGTGATTTTAAGCATTTTGATTCTTGTATGTGAATGTGACTGACCTCAGTCTCTCCAGTTTACAGTGTGAATCCTTCAGTACGGCACATAAGTGCTTCACTCCTGAGTTTCCAAGATTATTCCAGCTCAGGTTCAGCTCTCTCAGGTGTGACGGGTTTGATTTCAGAGCTGAAGTCAGGATGAGACTCTGTTTCTCTGTAATACTGCAATCACTCAGACTGAAGACAGAGAAATAACAATAGTTCACATCTATGATGATCATCTTATTGAAGAGCTACAGCAGCATTTAGTTTCCAATAGTCTGTTTTAAAACCCAGTCACACTAGTTCTGTGCGCTGGAAGACACTGTTTCTTCTCTTTCATCTTTAACTAATTATTTGACGTCTCTCTTCTTTATTCTCTGTTGAAAAGGCAGATTTCTGCGTGTACAAAATCAGTACATTGTATCAGATGCTGGGAATTAAACAATTACTATCTACACTCTAAAAAGTTTTATATGATTTACAATTTTTTTTTGGTGAAACATTTTTACACTCAAAAATATTGATTCAATTTTAAAGCAGTGAAATCAAATACAATACACCGTATAAACTGAGTAAATGTAAGTAAAAAAAAAGTAGATCTGAGTAACTGCATCTGGTACATTAACAAATAAAATTGAGTAGAAATAATTGTGTAAAAACAAAAAAATATATATTTATGAGTAATATTAACTTTTTTATTTTCTCTAAACCTTTGTGAAATAGTATTCCACACAACCACCGGTAGCTATACATGACATTGGCCTTTATTGTCGATGAGTAACGTTACTGTCACGATGCTGCGTGAGGCAAGTTCAAAAGAGTTCACGAAGGCAAGCAAATCCAAACAATAGCAGTTTATTCCAGAAGAAGACGGGAACACGCACACATACGGGTGATACAAACAATACCGGACAACAGACAGAGCACAAGCAGGAACTAAATACACAGAGATAATTAACAAATGACTAACAGCTGTGATGAAGGTGATTGGTGTCCATGGTGACTTATCAGTGGCGGGAAACACAGACAGGGAAACACATGTGAGGAGTGAAACTGTGACATAACGCCCCCTCTCAGTAGGTGCGACCTCGCGCCGTAACAGAAGAATAGAGGGAGGGATGGAGGGGGTCTAGAAAGTGGGCGAGGCGATGCCGCAGGCAAGGAGCCAGGAGATGGCGAAGGGATGGTGAAGGGATGGCCAAGGGTAGGCAACGTAGGCAGAGGAAGCTGGAGGAGGTTTGGGCGGAGGACGGATGACATGGAGGAGACAGAACTTAAGGGTCCAGGGAGGTGCAGATCGTGGTGAGAGCCAGTGAAGGGCCTTGGGCAGGGGCGTGATGGAAGGTGCCCAGGCCACAGCCAGAGTGGTGCCCCACGGCGGCGTTGATGGAGGGAGGAGCCATGGAGGAATAGAGATGAGGGCCGCAATGGGGGTGACCGGAGGCGACGACGGCGAGGATGGAGTCCACCGCGCAGCCGATGAGCCGAGGAAGTGGAAAGATGGTGAAGATCCTGGTGACCGCGACGGAGCCGCGGCGACGACCTCCCGAGAGTGAGGTGGGGATCCGGAGGTCTGAGGGCAAGTTGGAACGACCGAGGACGGAGGTGTAGCCTGAGGTAGGGCAGAGCAAGCCGTAGCAGAAGGGGTAGAGAACCAGAGCGCAGCGGACGGTTCGCAAGTCTGTGGTGGAGGTGAAGCGATGTCTGACCTCGGTGGAGCCGACGTGCCGAGGGAGTCCGGCGAGACCGAATGGCCGATGGTCCACGCCGAGGTAGAGGGTGGAAGGAGTGCAGGTTCGGGAGCCAGGGCGACAGGTCGAGGCAGAGCAGGGGCGGATCTAGAAAAATATTTATGGGGTGGCAAGAGGGGGGCAGGAATTTTTGAGGGGTGGCAACATGGCAGACGTATATATACTGAATTTAATCACAGGTAACACAGTTTGATGAGAAATCGTATGTATACACACTACAAAAGGGCATTATTTGTATTATTATTTGTATCTTTTTTTGTGGGGGGGGGGTTTGGGGTCACCTGTGAGTACAGGGCTGGACTGGGACAAAAAATCGACCCGGGCATTTTGGCCCAGACTGGCCCACTACATATAATCATAAACACAACCAGACTTTGCACTCCCTTGAATATGTATACCAACTCCTATAAAAACCACCAATGTCATAAGTGAATAGGAGTGAGTAAGAGTTAACAGATAAAATAACTACTAAGTTGAACTATACTCCACAGTGATGAATCCTAAAACAAGCTATAAGCTGCATTGGGATAGCAATACCGGTTTTTCCCATAGGATTTTGTTAAATCTGTGGTGAGTGCACCTCTGTCCCTCTAGGGGGGTTCGGGGGCATGCTCCCCCGTAAGAAAATGTTGTGCTTTTTAATGTTAAATTCATCAATCTGGTGCACTTTGAGAGTTCAAAATAAAGAGCTACAACCCATATTCAGTGTGCAAATTGAACAAAGAAAAACTCAAAACTCTTTTTAGTTGTGATATAGTGTCTGTGTACATTACACTACTATAATAGTTATAATATTATCGCCAGTCCAGCCCTGTGTGAGTATAAGGGGTGCGTTTAACTTTTGGAGCCAAGGTGTGCCGACCTTTTTTCCCTTTTTTTTATATCTTATTTTGTTGAGCACCCAACAAGAATCAATTATATCATTTAAATACTACTAAGATCCATATTACTATCACACGAGCCAATGGCAATTAAATGCACGGATGCATAACGTTAGTCAGATTAATGAATGAAATACAACTGTTCACGAACAGAAGATTGTATTGGACTCATGCTGCATACATTGTCATTGCGTAGGCCTATGTATGCAGCATGAGTCCAATACAATCTTCTGTTCGTGAACAGTTGTATTTCATTCATTTTGCCTACTGTAAATATAGAGTTACAACTATGATTAGAGTTGTTAAATAAAATACCCTGTGAACATTCACACGTTTGCTTTATGATAGGCTAAAATTTATCTCCATCTATTTTCTTAATTCTGCGCATGTATTTTCACTTACTTACATTAATTACTCGATCAATATTATTATCACATATTTTACATTTTATATTTTTAACTGTACACAAACAACTTAATATAGCTCAGTTTGTGTATATTTTACACGTAGTAAAATACTGTAGGCTACTGCTTATAAACACCAGACAGATAATGATATATGAAACAGATGTTCTTTACTCATCTCACTTGCACAAAATAAATGCAGTAATATAAAGCATAGAAACGCACAGGTGAAATACACTGAAAATGATATTCATTTAAAAATTTGGTCGGGTTGAAAACGTATCTCTCTGGTAATGGAACTCGGTCGCTGTTGTCTCTTGCTCTCTCTGTCTCCCGCTCTCGCGCCGACTCGCGGTCAGATCACCGGAAGTTTTCGCCAGAAGTATTTGCCCACACACTAAAGTACGAACGTCAACGGTCGTCATATTGTGCACGGAGCGAATTCACTGCAGTCGGACATTGGAGATTCGCGCTCGTATATTGTCAAATTGGCCATAACTTTTAATTCGTTGCTGCCAACTGGGGTGGCAGCAGGGGTGGCAAGGCTTTCTTTTAGGGTGGCATTTGCCACCCTATGCCACCCCGGTAGATCCGCCCCTGAGGCAGAGTGTAGCGCACCGAGGCTGCAGGCGGAGCTACAGACTCCTCTTGTTCAGGAGAAGATGGCTCCCGACAGGTCCGAGGTGGTACCCCGCTACTGAGAGGCAGAGGTGGTACAGAAGGACTGAAGGGTGACAGAGATGACTGGGTGGTACAGATGGTTGGAGACTGGGGAAGAGACTGGAGTCCAATGCAGAAACCTAAAAAAAATAAAGTGTTCGCGATACCTTGGAGAGGAGGTGGGAGAGGGAGTTTGGGCGGGGCTAATGAGACAGGCAGATGATTGACAGGATCGGGATTGACAAAACTCCTCTCCAAAATCAAAATCAAAAAGTGTACCAGCCAGAGACACACTCTCAGTAGCGGAGGAGTTGGCGGGACTCACTTCCAAACCCTCAAAGTCCACCAGTACTCCCTCAGTGATGGATGGCTCGGCCGGCTCACACACCTGGTCAGGCGCACGTTGCTCGGGCTCCATGGCGATGTGATCCTCGGTCGCTCTTATCGCCGCGGCCTCCGTCGCGCTACCTGCGGTGGGCTCATGTCGACAGTCCTCGCCGTCGGGGTGGTTCTGGCTGGGCACTGGATGGGGAGTGGGGCTGGCGGCATCCTCGACGGTGAACGCAGATCCGCAGGACGCCAGCACCCACTCCACATATGACGCGAAGCTCCCTCGAGGAACCTCCCCGGACAACTGTGCGCGTGTGGCAGCGTTGAGTCCGACTCTCAGGAATGTGCACAGGCAGTCGTCCGGGAAGGTGGTCTGATAGGCGAGATCCAAAAACACTTCCAAGTGTTCCTCGAGGGAGCGTTCTCCCTGCTCAAGGCACATGAGTCTTACTGCTGGGAAGTCCATGGTGATAAGCAGGGGTGAAAACGGAACAAAAACACTGAACACGAAAACGGGGAAAACAAAGGAAAATGTACAAACGCGTTCTTAGTTTGGTCCGGTATTCTGTCACGATGCTGCGTGAGGCAAGTTCAAAAGAGTTCACGAAGGCAAGCAAATCCAAATAATAGCAGTTTATTCCAGAAGAAGACGGGAACACGCACACATACGGGTGATACAAACAATACCGGACAACAGACAGAGCACAAGCAGGAACTAAATACACAGAGATAATTAACAAATGACTAACAGCTGTGATGAAGGTGATTGGTGTCCATGGTGACTGATCAGTGGCGGGAAACACAGACAGGGAAACACATGTGAGGAGTGAAACTGTGACAGTTACATCAATAAGGCATATTTTACACTGTTTTAACATGTATACAACATTGCCTACTGTCACGACCGGCTCAAAGCCGTGGCAAATGAAATGGAGGACACAGTGATTGGATTGCAAAAGAAAATAACTTTTATTCACATAATTAGAAAAATGTATAAAACAATAAAACGTGGTCGTCTGTAATGCCTGACAATGGGCATAGGTGTAAATGTATCAGCCAAAGCAAACCAAAATACTAACCAAAGAAACTAACCGAGCCCAAATCAAACATAAATCGAACACAAAGTAAACCGGAGGAAAGACTTGTCTGTACACCAGTCAGTCTAAACATTTATAGAGGGATGAAAAGGGTGGACATCGTTCCGTTGATGAGTCTCCTAGCCACACCCACTAGTTTGCCGTAACAGGAAGAGAAGAGACTCGTCACACTACATTTAAACTCATGTAACAAACGTTTTAGAAGTAAAAATGAAACATTTAAACATTCAGGTCGCCTAATTCAAGTGTGTTCAACCGGTCTGTTATCCAGTTTCCACCGGATCAGCGCTGGTTCTGGTGCCGGAGATGGACTCGCGCTCTGCGGGGGAACTTCCACCTTCAGACCGCCGTCCTGCGTTTCACTCAGAGCCGAAAGATGCTGCGACTCCATAACCTGCCAATAAACAAACAGTGCTCAGTTCTGAGAACATTTATCATCCAAATTAGTTATATTCATTATCTTTAGGAATAAAGTCGTGTGTTTTATGCAAGCCATCAGACATTTCAATCAGCGAAAAGACAGACGTGACACTCGTTTAGGTGACTCACATTGAGTCCCAGTATGTTGTTATGCATTACATAAAATGATTTAAAACACAGTAATGATTTTATAAAATAAAAGATAAAATAAAACATACACACACCTGAATTTCACAGAGGAAATGCACCAATTCTGCGCCGCTGAGAAGAGAGAACTGATCTGGAGACTGAAGAGTTCAAACAGCGCGCGCTCACTGCGCGGGGGGGAGGGGGGGGGGCATTGTTTTAACTGAGTAAATCTGCTCAATCTCTCAAGAGTGTGTTAAATATATTTCACCGGAAATTGTCTGAACTAGTAAGAAACATCCACTTTTGTTCTGGTTCTGACATTGCAGTAAATCGCGCTGATTAAATCTAACAATCGCTTATAAGTTATCATATCACGCAAAACCGTACAAATTATACTTTGTTCTCAAATTGTTAATGTTAACAGCGTAAGCAAGCATTGCGTGACTACATGTAATGTCCTTCCGATATTATCCTTGTTTTCGCACGGGTCCGGCTGCAGTCTCTTTCTCTCTGTAGCCGCTCCGAAGTCCGAACGAAGTCTTCTGCATGTTACAGCGGGTGAATCTGTTGTCACTGGTGATCGTCGTTTGAACTTTCTGGATCCGCCATCAAATTGATAAGTTTAATTATATCAAGTGCTGTGAGAAAAGGCTAAATCTCCACCTCCAACATCCTCACACGCACTATAGCCTACTAGCCGAGACTCTTCTTTATGTGGACAGATGTGTGTGTACAGGTGTGTGTGTACAGATGTGTGTGTGGACAGATGTGTGTGTACAGATGTGTGTGTGGACAGATGTGTGTGTGGACAGATGTGTGTGTACAGATGTGTGTGTACAGATGTGTGTGTGGACAGATGTGTGCGTGTACAGATGTGTGCGTGTACAGATGTGTGCGTGTACAGATGTGTGTGTGTGTGCAGATGTGTGTGTGTGTGTACAGATGTGTGTGGACAGATGTGTGTGTGTGGACAGATGTGTGTGGACAAATGTGTGTGTGTGTACAGATGTGTGTGGACAGATGTGTGTGTGGACAGATGTGTGTGTACAGATGTGTGTGTGTGGACAGATGTGTGTGTGGACAGATGTGTGTGTGGACAGATGTGTGTGTGTGTGTACAGATGTGTGTGTACAGATGTGTGTGTGTACAGATGTGTGTGTGTACAGATGTGTGTGTGTGTACAGATGTGTGTGTGTACAGATGTGTATGTGTACAGATGTGTGTGTGTGTACAGATGTGTGTGTGTGTGTGTGTGTGTGTGTGTGTACAGATGTGTGTGTGTGTACAGATGTGTGTGGACAGATGTGTGTGTGGACAGATGTGTGTACAGATGTGTGTGTGTACAGATGTGTGTGTGTGTACAGATGTGTGTGTACAGGTGTGTGTGTGTGTGTACAGATGTGTGTGTGTGTACAGATGTGTGTGTGTGTACAGATGTGTGTGTACAGATGTGTGTGTACAGATGTGTGTGGACAGATGTGTGTGGACATATGTGTGTGTACAGATGTGTGTGTGTGCAGATGTGACGTAATGACGCAAAGACATGCTCGAATCTCCCGCTGAAATCCACCAGTACCACTGGAATTAAAAACATTATTACAAGCTTACCGCTGTGAATCGAGCTACGGCAAGCAGAGAGTTTTGAACACTGGCTGGTTATGTATTTTCTCAAATATGTATTTTGGATAATTTTTAACCCAAAAAAGCTACAGACTGCAGCTTTAAGAGTTTTATAAATAAATAATTGGTTAGTGAAATACTAAATTCTTATAGTGAAAAAAAAATGTAATATAACTGTAAATTTTAGATAAAATGAACTGTTGGATCAATTATTTTTGTATGTTTAACTCAAACAATCAAATAAATGATATTCAGAGATTTTAAGTTAATAAAGTTAAATATTACTGTGATATTTACTAAGCCACAGAATAATTATACAGTGTAGATAAAAAAAACCCACATATAAATGTGAGCAATAGGGAAACCCAGAAAGTGCACTGCTATAACCAATGAAACATAAGCCCTGCTGTCTTCAAATAAATAAACTTCAGTCACACTGTAATTGCTGTACAGTATAATGACACTAACTGTAGTTTCTCCAGCTTGAATTGTGGGTTCATCAGTAGATCACTGAGGTTTTTCACTCCAGAGTCTCCTAGTTTATTGACGCTCAGGTCCAGCTCTCTCAGGTGTGACGGGTTTGATTTCAGAGCTGAAGTCACATCAGAACAACCTTCATCTGTCATATCACAGCAGCTTAACCTACATTAGCAGAGAGAGAGAGAGAGAGAGAGAGAGAGAGAGAATGAAGAAAATAAGAGACTCTTTATTCTGTAAAGTCACATCATCTTCATCAGCAAATAAAACAGACAGAGGAAGAGAGATCTTCATCTTTATTTCACCAGATCACAAAATACTAAGGTGAAATTTTTTGTAGAAATATAATACAGCATTTAGTTTCCATTAGTCTGTTTTAAAACCCAGTCACACTAGTTCTGTGCGCTGGAAGACACTGTTTCTTCTCTTTCATTTTTAACTATTTATTTGACGTCTCTCTTCTTTATTCTCTGTTGAAAAGGCAGATTTCTGCGTGTACACAATCAGTACATTGTATCAGATGCTGGGAATTAAACAATTACTATCTACACTCTAAAAAGTTTTATATGGTTTACTATTTTTTTTTTGGTGAAACATTTTTACACTCAAAAATATTGATTCAATTTTAAAGCAGTGAAATCAATTACAATACACCGTATAAACTGAGTAAATGTAAGTAAAAAATTGCAGATCTGAGTAACTGCATCTGGTACATTAACAAATAAAATTGAGTAGAAATAATTGTGGAAAAATATAAAATATATCAATATTTATGAGTAATCAACTTGTTGCATTGTTTTAACTGAGTAAATCTGCTCAATCTCTCAAGAGTGTGTTAAATATATTAATAATACTGATTTGAATTAAGTAATATTTGTGGTTCTTGAAACATATCAGTTTAATTCTCCATTCTCAATTATTTTGATAGAAATTTCACAAATATCTTAAAGCTGCAGTCCGGCGTTTTTCCTCTTTGTCGCCATCTCTGTTCGAAATCTGCAATTACAGTCATTCGCGGAATTATCCACTTTACGTGAGTTGTACTTCAACACCCTCGACACGGCACAGCGCGGATGAACACAAAGTGTTTGAGGAGAGTGTGTGTGTCAGTCACCGCGCCGGTGTCGATACTGGCATTCACAATCACAGATTATTCTTTTTGGAAGTATGAGCAACATAATAATTTTCACTGGGAAATGTCTGAACTAGTAAGAAACATCCACTTTTGTTCTGATTCTGACATTGCAGTAAATCGCGCTGATTAAATCTAACAATTGCTTATAAGTTATCATATCACGCAAAACCGTGCAAATTATACTTTGTTCTCAAATTGTTAATGTTAACAGCGTAAGCAAGCATTGCGTGACTACATGTAATGTCCTTCCGATATTATCCTTGTTTTCGCATGGGTCCGGCTGCAGTCTCTTTCTCTCTGTCGCCGCTCCGAAGTCCGAACGAAGTCTTCTGCATGTTACAGCGGGTGAATCTGTTGTCACTGGTGATCGTCGTGATCAAATTGATAAGTTTAATTATATCAAGTGCTGTGAGAAAAGGCTATAAATCTCCACCTCCAACATCCTCACACAATATAGCCGACTAGCCGAGACTCTTCTTTATGTGGACAGATGTGTGTGTACAGATGTGTGTGTACAGATGTGTGTGTGGACAGATGAGTGTGTGGACAGATGTGTGCGTGTACAGATGTGTGTGTGTGTACAGATGTGTGTGGACAGATGTGTGTGTGGACAGATGTGTGTGTGGACAGATGTGTGTGTGGACAGATGTGTGTGTGGACAGATGAGTGTGTGGACAGATGTGTGCGTGTACAGATGTGTGCGTGTAGAGATGTGTTTGTGGACAGATGTGTGTGTGTACAGATGTGTGTGTGTGTACAGATGTGTGTGGACAGATGTGTGTGTGGACAGATGTGTGTGTGGACAGATGTGTGTGTGGACAGATGTATGTGTGTACAGATGTGTGTGTGTACAGATGTGTGTGTACAGATGTGTGTGTGGACAGATGTGTGTGTGTACAGATGTGTGTGGAGAGATGTGTGTGGAGAGATGTGTGTGTGGACAGATGTGTGTGTGTACAGATGTGTGTGTGTGTGTGTGTGTGTGTGTGTGTGTGTGTGTGTGTGTGTGTGTGTGTGTGTGTACAGATGTGTGTGTGTGTGCACAGATGTGTGTGGACAGATGTGTGTGTGTGTGTGGACAGATGTGTGTGTGTGGACAGATGTGTGTGTGGACAGATGTGTGTGTGTGGACAGATGTGTGTGGACAGATGTGTGTGTGTACAGATGTGTGTGTGTGTGTGGACAAGTGTGTGTACAGTTGTGTGTGTGGACAGATGTGTGTGTGTGTGTGTGTGGACAGATGTGTGTGTACAGATGTGTGTGTGTGGACAGATGTGTGTGTACAGATGTGTGTGTGTGTGTACAGATGTGTGTGTGGACAGATGTGTGTGTGGACAGATGTGTGTGTGTGGACAGATGTGTGTGTGGACAGATGTGTGTGTGGACAGATGTGTGTGTGTGTACAGATGTGTGTGTGAGGACAGATGTGACGTAATGACGCAAAGACATGCTCGAATCTCCCGCTGAAATCCACCAGTACCACTGGAATTAAAAACATTATTACAAGCTTACCGCTGTGAATCGAGCTACGGCAAGCAGAGAGTTTTGAACACTGGCTGGTTATGTATTTTCTCAAATATGTATTTTGGATCATTTTTAACCCCAAAAAAGCTACGGACTGCAGCTTTAAGAGTATTATAAATAAATAATTGGTTAGTCAAATACTAAATTCTTATAGTGAAAAAAAAAATTAAATATAACTGTAAATTTTAGATGAAATGAACTGTTGGATCAATTATTTTTGTATGTTTAACTCAAACAATCAAATAAATGATATTCAGAGATTTTAAGTTAATAAAGTTAAATATTACTGTGATATTTACTGAGCCACAGAATAATTACACAGTGTAGATAAAAAAAAACCACATATAAATGTGAGCAATAGGGAAACCCAGAAAGTGCACTGCTATAACCAATGAAACATAAGCCCTGCTGTCTTCAAATAAATAAACTTCAGTCACACTGTAATTGCTGTACAGTATAATGACACTAACTGTAGTTTCTCCAGCTTGAATTGTGGGTTCATCAGGAGATCACTGAGGTTTTTCACTCCAGAGTCTCCTAGTTTATTCACGCTCAGGTCCAGCTCTCTCAGGTGTGACGGGTTTGATTTCAGAGCTGAAGTCACATCAGAACAACCTTCATCTGTCATATCACACCAGCTTAACCTACATTAGCAGAGAGAGAGAGAGAGAGAGAGAGAGAGAGAGAGAGAGAGAGAGAGAGAGAGAGAGAGAGAGAGAGAGAGAGAGAGAGAGAGAGAGAGAGAGAGAGAGAGAATGAAGAAAATAAGAGACTCTTTATTCTGTAAAGTCACATCATCTTCATCAGCAAATAAAACAGACAGAGGAAGAGAGATCTTCATCTTTATTTCACCAGATCACAAAATACTGAGGTGAAAATGTTTGTACAAATATAATGTTAATGTGTTCTAGTTTAAACAGTTGAAGTGATTTTAAGCATTTTGATTCTTGTATGTGAATGTGACTGACCTCAATCTCTCCAGTTTACAGTGTGAATCCTTCAGTACTGCACATAAGTGCTTCACTCCTGAGTTTCCTAGTTTATTCCCGCTCAGGTCCAGCTCTCTCAGGTGTGACGGGTTTGATTTCAGAGCTGAAGTCAGGATGAGACTCTGTTTCTCTGTAATACTGCAATCATACAGACTGAAGACAGAGAAATAACAATAGTTCACATCTATGATGATCATCTTATTGAAGAGCTACAGCAGCATTTAGTTTCCAATAGTCTGTTTTAAAACCCAGTCACACTAGTTCTGTGCGCTGGAAGACACTGTTTCTTATCTTTCATTTTTAACTATTTATTTGACGTCTCTCTTCTTTATTCTCTGTTGAAAAGGCAGATTTCTGCATGTACACAATCAGTACATTGTATCAGATGCTGGGAATTAATCAACTACTATCTACACTCTAAAAAGTTTTATATGATTTACTAATTTTTTTGGTGAAACATTTTTACACTCAAAAGTATTGATTCAATTTTAAAGCAGTGAAATCAATTACAATACACCGTATAAACTGAGTAAATGTAAGTAAAAAATTGCAGATCTGAGTAACTGCATCTAGTACATTAACAAATAAAATTGAGTAGAAATAATTGTGGAAAAATGTAAAAAATATCAATATTTATGAGTAATATTAACTTTTTTATTTTCTATAAACCTTTGTGAAATAGTTTTGTTTTAACTGAGTAAATCTGCTCAATCTCTCAAGAGTGTGTTAAATATATTAATAATACTGATTTGAATTAAGTAATATTTGTGGTTCTTGAAACATCAGTTTAATTCTCCATTCTCAAATATTTTAATAGAAATTTCACAAATATCTTAAAGCTGCAGTCCGGCGTTTTTCCTCTTTGTCGCCATCTCTGTTCGAAATCTGCAATTGCAGTCATTCGCGGAATTATCCATTTTACGTGAGTTGTACTTCAACACCCTCGACACGGCACAGCGCGGATGAACACAGTGTTTGAGGAGAGTGTGTGTGTCAGTCACCACGCCGGTGTCGATACTGGCATTCACAATCACAGATTATTCTTTTTGGAAGTATGAACAACATAATCATATTCACCGGAAAATGTCTGAACTAGTAAGAAACATCCACTTTTCATCATATGGTTATCATATCACGCAAAACCGTGCAAATTATACTTTGTTCTCAAATTGTTAATGTTAACAGCGTAAGCAAGCATTGCGTGACTACATGTAATGTCCTTCCGATATTATCCTTGTTTTCGCATGGGTCCGGCTGCAGTCTCTTTCTCTCTGTCGCCGCTCCGAAGTCCGAACGAAGTCTTCTGCATGTTACAGCGGGTGAATCTGTTGTCACTGGTGATCGTCGTTTGAACCTTTCTGGATCCGCCATCAAATTGATAAGTTTAATTATATCAAGTGCTGTGAGAAAAGGCTATAAATCTCCACCTCCAACATCCTCACACGCAATATAGCCGACTAGCCGAGACTCTTCTTTATGTGGACAGATGTGTGTGTACAGATGTGTGTGTGGACAGATGTGTGTGTACAGATGTGTGTGTGGACAGATGTGTGCGTGTACAGATGTGTGCGTGTACAGATGTGTGTGTGGACAGATGTGTGTGTGTGTGTGTACAGATGTGTGTGTGTGTGTGTGTGTGTGTGTGTGTGTGTGTGTACAGATGTGTGTGTACAGATGTGTGTGGACAGATGTGTGTGTGTACAGATGTGTGTGTGTGTGTGTGCAGATGTGTGTGTGTGGACAGATGTGTGTGTGTGTGTGTACAGATGTGTGTGTGTGTACAAATGTGTGTGTGTACAGATGTGTGTGTGTACAGATGTGTGTGTGTGGACAGATGTGTGTGTGGACAGATGTGTGTGTGGACAGATGTGTGTGTACAGATATGTGTGTGTGGACAGATGTGTGTGTGTGTGTACAGATGTGTGTGTGGACAGATGTGTGTGTGTACAGATGTGTGTGTGTGGACAGATGTGTGTGTGTGTGGACAGATGTGTGTCTGTGTATGTGTGTGTGTGTGTGTGTACAGAAGTGTGTGTGTGTGTGTGTGTGTATAGATGTGTGTGTGTGTACAGATGTGTGTGTGTGTACAGATGTGTGTGTGTGTGTGTGTGTGTACAGATGTGTGTGTGTGTGTGTGTACAGATGTGTGTGTGTGTGTGTGTGTGTACAGATGTGTGTGTACAGATGTGTGTGTACAGATGTGTGTGTGTGTGTGTACAGATGTGTGTGTGTGTGTACAGATGTGTGTGTGTGTGTGTGTGTGTGTACAGATGTGTGTGTACAGATGTGTGTTTAGATGTGTGTGTGTGTGTACAGATGTGTGTGTGTGTGTGTGTGTGTACAGACGTGTGTGTGTGTGTGTGTACAGGTGTGTGTGTGTAGATGTGTATGTGTGGACAGATGTGCTTGGACAGATGTGCGTGTACAGATGTGCGTGTGTGTGGACAGATGTGTGTGTGTACAGATGTGTGTGTGTGGACAGATGTGTGTGTGGACAGATGTGTGTGTGTGGACAGATGTGTGTGTGTGTGTTTGGACAGATGTGTGTGTGTGTGTGTGTGTGTGTGTGTGGACAGATGTGTGTGTGTGTGTGTGTATACAGATGTGTGTGTGGACAGATGTGTGTGTGTAGACAGATGTGTGTGTGTGGACAGATGTGTGTGTGTGTGTGTGTGTGTGTACAGATGTGTGTGTGTGGACAGAAGTGTGTGTGTGTGTGTGTGTGTGTGTGTGTGTGTGACGACCTCTGCTGCTGCGTTTGAGAATTGCAGTTTGGTACCGGAGCCCACTAATTGCCTCAATTGGCAGTCAACTGGAAACACCTGTGACCGTGCCTTAGACGCTTCTTAAGAGATCACCAACTGAGCCAAGGGAGAGGGAACTTTGGTTTTGGACTTTGCCTTTTGCTTGCGTTGTATTTTGTTACTTTTTGCATTTACATTTCAACTTCAACATTGCATTACACTTTCGACCATGCATCTTGCTTTACACACTGATCTTGCTGATGAATACAGAAACACTTCTATTTTCTTTAAATGTTTTCATTTTATTATTTAGTTTTGTCTTACTTTTGTAGTTAAATAAATATTACTTTTGACCTTACAATTTGGTTTACGTGTGTCCCTTGTTTTTGTTGCTTCCCTTGAGCCAAGGGTCGTAACAAATTGGGGGCTCGTCCTTGCTTTGGTTATTTGATTGTGTAAAAAAAAATTTGGACGTTTAGTTTGATAATTGATTATTTGTTGGACACACAAAAATGTTTTTGTGCCAAAGTCAATTTGTTCACCGTGTGAAATCACCAGTTGGTAAGTACATGTGCAATATTGTTTTTTGAACGTGAGTTTTCTCTGATAGGCATAGCGGCATGTTTCTTTTGAGACGTGTCGGATTTGTTATTTTTGTGTAGTGCTGTGGTGAAAGTGGGCAGTAGTAATTATCTCGGGAGCACATCCGTGGTGTTGAAGGCGTCGCTGGTTTGACCAGTTGCGTTTTTCACCCAGCGGGCTATAGTGCATAAATACCCCCCACCAGTAATCGCATGAAGACTAGGGTTGAGTTAGGTAGAGGTACTGGAAAGGTAGAGGGAAAACTCTCGTTATTTGATTGCACTGTGCTGAATAAATTATTCTGGTCATTTTAGCATGGCTGATATTGATGAGTTTGTTAGTTCACCTTCTCATGAATTTTTGGACAGGTGTACTAAAGAGCAATTATTAAGTATTGCTGAACGTTATGAAATTGTGATTAAAGATAAAAGGCTCAAAGATAATGTTAAAGTAGCTTTGAAAATTGAGTTGATTGAAAAAGGTTTCTTAGACACCGAGATGGAGGAATATGTACCAGTGGCATCTGAATTAAAAAGTCATTTGTCTTTTGAACAGCAAAAAGAGCTGCTACAATTAAAGATGGACCATGAGAAGTTAAAACTGCGTGCGGAACAAGGTAAAATGGATTTAGAAAAGGCAAAATTGGATTTGGAGTTTCTCAAGCTCAACCTGATGAAAAAAGGTAAGCTTTCTAGTTCTGGTCAGGAACAGAGTGTGTTGTTTTCAATCAATTCAAACCTAAAACTTATTCCTAAATTCAATGAAGAAGATCCTGATACTTTCTTTACTCTATTTGAACGCATGGCAGAATTAAGGAACTGGTCAGATGATGATTGTGTTGCGCTGTTACAGTGTGTGTTAACTGGGAAAGCACAAGTAGCATTTTCTTCATTGTCGGTTGATGATTGTAAAGATTATGATAAAGTTAAATCTCTAATCTTAAAAGCATATGAATGTGTACCCGAAGCATACAGACAGCGTTTTCGATTGCAGAAAAAAGACCAGTTGCAAACAAACTTAGAATTTGTGCGTGATCTGAGAAAACACTTTAATCATTGGTGTTCAGCATTAGACATTAAAACATTGGAGGATTTAATTCACTTGATGGTGTTGGAACAATTTAAAAATTCCGTCCCCAGCCGTATAGCTATGTATATTAGTGAGCATAATGTTAAAACGCCAGAGGAAGCGGCAATGTTGGCCGATGATTTTGTACTGACGCACAAAACCACTTTTGTGGATTGGCATGCTCGTGATGTTCAGTATGTAAAGTCTCCGTCTAAGAGTAACCGTGTTTTCACGGGAAATTTTGACCCAAGCAAGATTTGC